GGTGTCCTTGCTAACAATTAGCTGAGACAGCCTGGACATTGCTGCAGGCTGGGGAAGGCTTGGCTGCCTGTGCCCTGCTGAGCTCCCTTTGAATGGTGCCCGGCACCGGTGCAAGTGTCAGGCAGAGGGTGACTAATGGCATTGCACGCGTTTGTGTCACTCAATTCCTCCTTTGACTCGGTCATCATAGATATTGGCATGCATGTATTGCAAAATAGAACTTCTGCCTGCAGCTCCTGTGTTTATCTGCAGGTGTCCAAAGGACGCTGATGCCACTTGGTTCCCATTGGGAAAACTCTGGCTGTTTAGATAAGCTCAGGGGCATGGGAGATGAGGGTGCAGCCTCTGTGCTGCCCTGTGCCAGGGCAGGCAGAGTCTGTAGGGCACAGCGGGACTCATGCCTATCACTGCATGGGTGTGTGGGGATCGTGGAGAGCCCTCTCTGCTGTGTTGAGCTGAACTCAGGGGCTTTTTGGTGCTACAGGCTGTGATCGGCTGGCTGGCTGGAGCCTGGGGATCATTTATTGGAGGTGGGAGCGGTGAGCAGCCCGGGGCTGTGCTTGGTCAGCAATCTTCCTTCTCCTTTCCTTCTCACGTGAGCAGGGCTGGCACCACAGGTCACGGCGTGATTATGATGGCACAGGGCAGAGGAGAGTCAAGCACAGAGCTTGGTCACTCATTTTTGGAGCAAGAGTTGCAGGCTGCAGCCCTGGTCTGGAACTGGGAAGCCAAATTGTCCCGAAATACTTGAACCCCATCACAAACATTATATAAATAAAAGGCTACTTCAACTCAAAGAGCCAACTTCCTGGCCAGATCGCCAACTGAGCTTCAGAGACAAGGCTTTTTGGTCATTAGAGGATACTACAATGTGACGTGCAGAAACATCCTTGTATTTGGCAGAAAAGGAAACCTCCCAGCCATGTTTCATGACCGTGATGCTGTGCATGCCAGTTGGAGTGGAGGGCTCGTGTGCTTTTGGGGGCATCTGCTGTACCACCTCCTAATGCTGCCATTGGCAGTGTGCAAGAGAGGGGGAAGAATAGATCTCTTGGAGTTGCTGACCATCTGGCTTTTAGGGCACCCCCCATTCTGTCTTGTTTGTTGTAATACTATTTTTATTTCTGTTTTAGTATTTTTAACCCTGTGACACCATAGCACCTTTAGTCCATGTGGAAGTTGTGGCGGATCTGAGGGTGCCTGGCACTGACAGTGCTTCCAGTCCTTTGCTTCAGAGATGTGCATGAGTATTAGGAATACATTTCTTTAATATGAGAAGAAAGTGCATCTGTTTGGCAGGATGGAGATGTGCAGAGAGGTTCCCTGATGATAAGAACGATTGCGAGCTGCTGTGTAGCAAGCAAATTCCCAGGTTTAGAAGCTGCATTCAAAGGCTGAAAAGCTGTGCTAAAATGTAGCATTGCTTGATTGCAATCTTTCAAAATGTTGTGACTTTTCTGTGTGATGTAGATGCCTCACATCTCAGCTGAGACTGACTGCTTTACACCAGATACTGTGTGCATAAACAAGGATCCAGGAGCTGGAGCCATGATTTATTAAAAAAAGAAAAAAGGGGAAATAAAGTCTGTCTTATCTTGATTGAAGGTATAATAAACATTGGGGATAAAATAACTACCCTTGAAACTGGTGGCAGGGGAACTTTTACTTCTGCATCATAAAGTTCAATTTTTTTTCCCCCCTTCTTTTTAAAAAACTGTCTGATTCTGTTGGGGTCCTTCCAGAGACTGCAGGATTTCCAGGATAGCTAAATCCCAAGTAAGAGTCAGGTTTCTTTTCACTGAAAGCTAGAAAAGGACATGTATTTGAAAATTAATTGTCATGAACTTTGGGGAAAATAATTGTTACAGCCAACTAGGTAAGACTGAGATAAATTGAGGAATAATCTTCCTGTGCTAGGTGAAGTGAGTTAAATAGTTCCTGAGTTATGACAACCCTTTAAAAAAAGAAGTGTGAGGTCCACATCCTTTGCCTTTCTCTTGCTACATCTAAGCAAACCTTTTCCTAAAGGTGGGGATGTGAAGGGAGAGTAAAAAGAAAAACCTGTAGCTAGGATACAGGACTCGAATAACTAAATGTCCAGGACCAGATGGAGCCCCTCATCAAAATTAAAGCAGTTCTTGTGTCTTTGGTTCCATCACTAGAAAACGACTGTGTTTCCTTCCAGGGTTAGAGGTCAGTATATAACCTTTATGCTAAGGAGACTTGTGAATGAAAAGAGGACACCAAACCAAGACTTTCATCCATGCACCAGACCCATAAGCCTCCGGAAATGGTGCTCCTCCCTCCGGCTGTGGGTGTGGGGAGTGAGCGGGTGGTCCAGCTGCTGCTGCAGCTGGAGGGTTCCCCTTTGAAGCGCTGGAGAGCTGCAGCATGGTTAAGGCCAGGAGATAGTAGGGCTTCCTCCCCCACATCTGTCCACGCTGCATTCCCAGGAGCTTCCCTCCTGAGGGTGCCTCCTTCCAAGGCACCGCTGCCTGGGAGAGCAGACCACCTCCAGAGGCTTGAAAAAGCAAAACCCCTCACGGCTGCTGCTTGTCCCTTCTGCTCTGGGAGGCCAGAAGCTCTGCTGCTTCGGGCATTGTAATGAATTGCTGCTGGAGACGTAGCCCTCGCCTTGCTGATTAGCCCAGGAACTCATTCTCTTGCCCTGTGTAAGGGCAGCTGGTGAATATCCACATCTGAGCTATCTGGAGCTGGGAGAGGAATTGCTGTGGGGCCAGGTGTGTGCAGCCTGTATGTGTTCCATGCTGGGCTGGCTGCTGCTCGCCAGAGATGTGTCTAGCCTGAAACTCTACTCCACGTGCAGTTTGTTACAAGGGATGCTGCTCTGCTCTGTGCAAGGAGGCTTTCCTAGGGCATGGCTGCTGTGAGTGCTGGATTTGGTGCTCAGAAGGGAAGGGGTGGAGCTCCTGCCCAAAACCAGCTTAGTGTGGTCTCCATCAGCCTTGGGTTTTTTTTTCCATGGCTTCCTCTGAGCAAAGGTTTGTCATTACCTTATGTGCCATGGGAAAGGACTTGTGAAGGCAATAAACCAGCAACGTTTTTCTCCCCACCAGTGTGTTCCTTTGGTGTCAGTTGCTGGACCTGCTCCTCACTGATTTACTGGAAGGAGAGGAGGAAGAGAGGGATGCTGCTGGGAGCTGTGCATTGTTGGCAACTAAGCTCCAGTTGTGGAGTCTTTAACTTAACAGTTTAGTCTACAGTTGTACAGAAATAACATCCAGCCCTTGCTTGGCTCTGAGATCCAGCGATGGAAAGCCTGTCTGCAAGGGAGGGAGGACAGGGTGACCTGCTTGATGGAGAGGGATGGGCAATTTGCTTGTCTGCAGTCACATCACTAACATTTTTCTTCCACCCCCCCTGCTTAGCATCATCTCTGGGAACCTCATGGGAAGCTTTGTGGTGGTGTTTTAGTGCCCTTCATAGTACAGTCATTTGCCAAGTGACTACACTGAATTAAACTTCTTGTGGGGCTGAGAGCTGTCTGGGCAAAAATACCCAGGAGCGCACCCATGATCACTGCCAGGTGGCTGTGGACTTCTCCCTGCACTCTGCAGGGCTGTCTTTTATAGCTGGTGACCTGTGGCAGAGTACTTCGTGTTCTCTGGAGCTGGACATTTCCTTGGTGGGGTAACAAGGTATTCTTATTTGCTGAAGACCTTACCTGGTCTCCCTCGTTAGTGTTCCCTAAGCATCACCTTCCCTTTTCTTCCCAGCTCCTGAATGCATTAGCATAACCTTAAACTTCAGTGAGTTTTATTTCTCAGCCCAGGCACAACTTGGGGTTTGCTGCTTCTCTTTCAGCCCCCCAGAAAAGCTGCCTGGGAGCTTTTCTTCAGCAGGCACAGGTTTGCTGAACGGGTTAACTCTCCACTCACAGCTCAGCCATGGGACATGTCCTTTCTCTCTGATGGCAACCCCCTGGCTCTGAGTCACTTTTCTGTGTGCAAGTTGAAATGTCCATGGTCTCCTGGGTTGGCAGGATACCCAAGTACAAGAAGAGAGTCACTTTGCCCTTACAAATCAAGTTTTGAGTTAATTATCTGTTTGCTTGGACAGTGTGTGTCCTTGTGCTTTGGGAAGATAATCTTGTGATCTGGACTAGGGTGAAAGGAGTTTAGAGCTTAGGCAGAGCAGTGGGGGGGAGGGAGGGAGCGATGGGTGGCTCCCCAGGGGAAGAACAGGGGCCATAGGGCTAGTCAGGGACTTGAGGGCCGGGCACTCATCCTTGCACTACCGCAGACTCTGTGTATGGCCATGGGCAAGTCACAAGTCACTTGAAGTCTGCCTTTGCAAGTAGAAAGGAGTAACTCAAGGAGATGGAAGTTAGACTGGGGAAGATAGTGGAAGGGACTTGGAAGCCAGAGGCCCAAAAAGAGGTGGATAGTAAATCAGAAATATTCATTATTTGTGTTGTAACAACCTAATGTGGGGATGCTCACAGAATCCTGCTCTGTGGTTTATAAGCACAGCAGTAGATCTGGGGCATTCTATCACCTTGTGGAAAGGAGGGAGAAAGCCCCAGATTTGTAGGGTGAATGGAAGAGTGGGGTCTTTCCCCCACTAACACCCCATGGGCTCTGTGGTAAGTATGGGCTTTAGTAAAGGCTGGCCATGAGTCCCTGTTTGTGGGGGTGTTGGTAGGAGCCAGGTTGGGCTCCCTGGCTGAAATGTGGGGTTTCTCCAACAGTGCTGGCAGAGGGGGAGCAGAAATCACTTCTGGGGGATCAGGATGGATGCAGTGGAAAGGGAGAAGCTTGGCAGGACAGCAAGATACCTTGGGACACAAAAGGATCTCTCGGTATTGTGGTGCAAAGCCTCTTTTCAGAGAGTTGTTGGGCTGCCTTATGCTCCCAGGAGTAAAAGTATAGCAGAAAAGCATGCTCTGAAGGTCCCTTAATGCTGTTCTGGTCTTCTGTGGCACTGTGTGACTGCTGGTGTTCATTTGTTTTTCCTTGCTTACAGTGCCTCTGACCATCATGGGGGTTGCCAGCATGGAACCGAACATCTCCCCTCCTGACAACGCTGCACAGCAAGACTCTCTCTTCAGCATGACAGACGTGTTTCTCATCTCGCTCATCACCGGGCTTTTTACTTACTGGTTCTTCTTCCGCAAGAAAAAAGAGGAAGTCCCAGACCTCCCCAAAATTCAATCAGTGTAAGTAACAACTCTCAGGCAGCATGGGGTGACTGTAGCTTTCCATCTTGCTTATGGTGGGTCCTTGGAGGCTGTGTGAGAAGTTCAGCTGGGTTCTGGGAGGTCCCCAGGTGAGGGGAATTAGTCCCAAAGTGCATTTCTCTCCCCTCACGTTTCTTTTGAGCTGTTCACCTCTCAATGCAGAAACCCCCATGGAAGAGCCAGGGTGCAGTTCTGCCGTGTGGCCCAAATCAGTAATTTGCCTTTCCCAAGCAAGGCAAGAAAAGGCAAGGTAGAAAAACCCTTGGATGTACTTCAAAATTCTTACAGATTGCTTTGGCTATTCTCTGTGTTTTCTGATAAAAGTCATATTTAGATAAATCTGGAGAAAGGTGGACTTGCTCTTAAGCAGGTTTTCTATCGGACATCTTATCTATCCTTAGCTATGAAGAGAAGAAATAGTCTTGGGGAGCTGCGAGATAGTTCCTGGGCATGAGCTGCTTGGCAGCTCTTGTGAAACTTGCTTGGCTTTGATGCCAGGTTACCACAGCAGCGGGAGACTGGGTTTGGAGAGGGAGAGGTCCTTGTTCCACCCTGTCTTCTGGAAAGGGCTTAGGGCCAGGAGCGAGCTGTGTTGGTGGAGATCTGGGTGCATTTAGTTCCTTGTCTGTCGCATACCAAACTTAACATCAGTTTTCTGCCGGGCTTTTTAGCTCATTTCTTCTGTTTCCACCTGGAGCATTGGTAAGAGCAGTAAAGAGGTTTGAAACCCACTGCAGCAGAGACCACAGGAGCTGGCATTTTGCAATACCTTTCCCTTCAGCCTCCTGGGGTCTGTTCCCTGCCTGGGTGCAGTTTGCCCCACACGGAAGGCCAGCCTCAGCCTTAGCCTAGGTCTGCGCTTTCCAGTATTGGGCCTTTGCAGAAGGTAACCACACAACAAAGGTGAATCATCTGGATTTGTAATGCTGGCTGCAAATTCGCTGTAGGCGCCCCCTTTTTTTTTAGTCCTGAGTGGTTGGTTGTGAGACCATGCTGCAAGGAAGGGAAAAGCGATGGCTGGCTGCTCGCAGTGGGTTCAAGATTTAACACACAGTTGCACCACAAAGGCATCCTGCATGAAGTGGGTTTCTCCCCATGGTGCTTAGCGGGTGCTGCTCTGGCAAGAAATACTTGTCAGTCCTTCATTTCAAAGTGTTATAGCCTGGTGTGGAAAGAAGCTGTGGCAGGACCTGACTGTAGGCTGCCCAGATGAGGATGTTTGGTGATAAGTGAAGGCATTTCAGCAGGGGATTGATGCTCCCGTTACTCTGTGTGTAAAAGCTAAATCAAACACAGCAAGCGGTTGGGGGTCTGTTGTCTCAGACCTGTATGTCTACCTTAGTGGGTTATGCTGCTTTCAGTCTTCAGGGCTCGTCATCCAGTGTTTGCCCTCTCCTCTGGTGGCAGAGCACTCTGCTTGAAGGCAAGCCTGGGATGCCAGGTCTGTTGTGAAACCCCTGGGTAATGGGAAGAGTAGCACACAGCTCAGAGCAAACCCTAAGGCAGGCTACATGCACTGGTGTTGCAGGAGGATGGAAAGTGCGTTTTCTTTCTGGGAAGGGTTTAAAAGGAAGAAATGTCCCTGGCTGCGGTACCTTGTGCAGTCAGGTGTGTGCAAGGCTAGTAGCAACCCAGCTATCTGTGCCTGCTTGGCCTTACCTTGGGAATTTGTTTTGTTGGATCGGTTGGGTACTTTCCCTTCTGTGCCTGCAAGAGAGGGCTGTGTGTATCAGTGCATGCGGTTGCCTCTGGAGGTTGTAACGAGAATGGCGGCATTGCGATGAGAGCTAAGCTGGCTGGAGAAATGGCACTATCAATCTGAAATTAGATCTGTCGCAGATTGACTTGGAGAGCTCCCGTGCTCACCGTCCTTGTGACTGTTTCCATTCACCGCCCATCACATGCAGCTCTTCCAGAGGCTGTCATGACCTTGCAGAGAAGTCACACTGCAGAGGGGCTTGCTAACCACCCGGTGTGTGTTACCACCTTGTCCTGCTGCCGGACCTCAGCATGTGGGCTTCTGTCTGAGACTGGCTGGAGGTTTTGGCTTTGAGCTGACTCATGGGTATTTTGCCCGTGTTTCTTGCGTGGGGTCTGTGCTGCCTTCTCCGTCTGCGTGGGAGATGGCTGGTAGGGAGCACTGTGTGCAACTGCTGCTTGCAAGAGTTGTGGAAGAGCAGCACCTCCTGTCACTGATAACCAGGGAGGGGTGAGGTTGCTCTGGACCTTGTCTGACACGATTCATTTTGGAAAAGTGACAGCTAGGCAGGTGAAGAGCACAAGAGGAGCCTTTAAAGTAGTTTTTCCTGTACATTAAACCTGACCTTTTCCTGTACGTTGCCTGCTGCAGCCCTGCTGTGGTCATCGTAGCAAACTGGTCTGAGGGCAGAGTGGACCCACAAGCAAAGGCTGTGGCTGGTGGCACATCCATCCTCTGGGACGGAGCCAGCAACTTCCTGCAGCTTTTGCAGTGTTATTTTATGGGACGCTTGGAACTGGGAGGGAAATGAGTGGGGAAAATAAGCTTGTTCAGCCTCAGGTTTCCTTCCCTCCTGTCATCCTTGAGTCTGGGGTGGAGTTTCCTTTCTGATAAACAAGCAAATCAGCAAGATACAGGATCACGCTGTCAGCCGCTGACCGTGGCTGGCTGGATAGCAATTGGTCCATGGGCAGGCAGGGCAGGCCCGTCTGCAGGCAGGGAAGCTGTCCTGGACCCATGAAGGCAGAGAGCCCTCAGTGGGGCTGTGTCTGGCTGAAGTGGAGAGCCTTGACCTTGAGAGGTGTTCCTTTTCTTCAGCACATTCCCTGCAGCTCTGCCTTGACTCACCAAACTGTCCTGAACTGCTTTATCTGATGGTATTGGGTGACGGTTTCTGTCGTGTCACTTTGGCCCCCAACTTCAGCTTCAGCCTTGGAAGACTGGAGGATGAAAGTACTGAACAGCAACTCAGATGCATCACGATGGCTGCTGCTTTAATGGGTTTGCTTGTAACGTGGGAGAATGCAAGCAGAGTCTCTGACCTGAACACAGCGTCCAGCACCATAGTGCCCTCCTGGGGTTTTTGGGAGCTGCTGCTGAGCAGCACACCTCAATCAAGCCACGTCAGCTCAGCAGGGTCTCCAAAGGAAATGTCACTGCTGCAGCTGCCCTTGATTGTGGAAGAAGAGATGCATGGTCAAAATACCCCATTGTGGATGGCATCTGGGCTGGGTTTATTCTACGTGGCTCCACCAGCCCCTGTGGCCTGGGAATGATTATGATCCTGCCCTGACAACGCGTCTCTGGGTTCAGCTACTGCTCAGGTGCTTGCTGATCCCTTACCCTCACAGCCAAGTGGAGCTCTTCTCCTGCCAGAAGCCCCCAGAGAAGGGGCAGAGCTCAGCATATGCAGTGGCTTGCCGTGTACAAGGCATCCTGTACCTGTGTTGTAACACAATGCACGTGTGGGGCAGGCTGGGATACCACCGACTGAGGATCGCTTGCATTTTGACCATTTTCAGACTTAATTGAAACCACTGGAGCAGCCTTCCCAGTGGCCTGCTCTGCAGATGTCATTAGGGAGAACGGCTCTTGATCACCACGCAGCCATGGCCACCACGCTTTCTTGCAGTGGCGTTGCTGGGGAATGCACTAATTTATTTTTATTCTTTGGCTGCGCCTCATCTGCATGTTTCACAATCGCAGATTTCTTTCCTTGTGTCCCCGCTCCAGAGTTGTGCAGACTGTTGCCCCAGGGAGACGCAGGTGAGACATCGATTGGTACACTGGGTGTCATGCCCTCCCTTCTCACCCCATCTTTAACATTGTTTGGGGCAGAAATCGGCTTATCTCTATTTTGCAGCTATAGAGAAATCCATTCCCTGGTGCTTGCAGGGCTTCCTGTGGCAGGAATTACTCCAGCTCCTTAGCCTTGATTAGCTCTCTTTGCTGCCTGCGTGTGTGTGAGAGCGAGTGAGCGAGAGACCACCTCTAATTTAATTTAATAGGATCCTGAAGAGAACAAACTCCTTTGAGCTGCCTCTGTAATGGCACTGCCATAGTTACCCATAGCATTGCTCACGCAGTGTTTGGAATCGTTTCATTCATCTAGAGCGTTGACTTTTTTTTTAAATAAAAAAGAATATATATAAAAGCAGCTGTGATATAAACAGTTTCCAAGGTAACAAGGCTGGGGGAGGGTTTTGTGTCCCGTCCCCCTGCTCCACGCGGATGGGAGAGGGACGTGTGCTGCGGAGGATCCTGGGAGGTTTCATTCTCCACTCCTAATTCCTTTCTGCCACTGCTGCCAGATGTTGCAGTTTCTCAGGGCTGCGCGGATCCACTTGGTAACTTCCAAAGCCCCGCCACGAGGATCTGAGCGGACAGGACCACTCCTGCTATGACCCGTGCTGGGACCTTTTGTGCCGGCTCTCAACAAAAGGCTGATGCTTGGCTTTAATGCCCAGGAGGAGCAGAATGGAAAGGCCTGTGTGCGTGTTGCTCCAGAGCTAAGTTAGACCCGTCCCCCCACACCTCCCCTTGCAGACAGACACGGCTGCCCTGCGACTCTTTGTCTGCCTCTTCCCTGCCCCGACCATGGGCTGCGTGTACTCAGCCCCACGAGAAGAGGTGGCCGTGGCGAGGTGAGTTAATCCGCCCGATGGGCAGGCGGGATCGCTCTGATTCAGAGGGTTGCTGTTGCCACCCCAAAGCTGGGTGGAGCGGGGTGCCTCTCCCTGCTGGGGCAGTAGGAGAAGGAAGGGCAGAGGCTCTGCTTGGAGGTAGGCTGCTCCAGAGGAGACGCTGCTGCCAGTGCTCAATTTCTCTGCAGCATCCAGGCTATGTTTTCACTTTGGGATGTACGCGTGCTTTCGGGAGGAAAGCCACAGGCATGGGAGCTTTCTGAAAGAGGTGTTCGGCTGAGATGGAGACATTGGTATCGTTGCTGAGCTGTTGGGAACTTCCTCCCCCCCTCCTTTTTTTTTCTCCTGAAACCAAAGTGACAGAGAGCCCTGGGATTCGCTTGCGCTGTGGGCTTTCACCAAGGGTGGGCAATCTGTACAAGCTAAGGACTTGCTCCGACAATGGAGTTAATCCCCTTTCCTCCACTTGTCACTTCTAACTCTCTTAGAGTCGCTGCCCTGAGCTATCTAAGCTGTAAGAGCAGTTGTTGCTGAAAACACGCTTTCTCTTCTAGGTTTTCCTGGCTGAGCAGTAAAAATGACTGTCATTTGTGTCTTTAGCGTCTGTGTGTTTTTGCAGCTCAGATTTTCAAGCCACCCTGATGAAGCAATTTCAGGGAGTTGTGTAGCCTTTTTTTCAAAAGCCAGACTCATTATTTCTTCTGTGTCTGAGCCACAGACTGCTCTCCACCACAGCACTTCAGTGCAGGGTTGCCTCCTTTGAAAACAGACGAGCTCCATGTGCTGCACCCTTTTCTCTTCCAAAGGGAGTTTGCTGAAAGGATCTGAAACTTTTTTTTTCCCTCCTTTAAAAGCATTTTGTTTAGCAGTTGACCCAACAGCTATTTTAATTAGATCTCATTTGCAGAGGGTAGTAAACCGAAGAGGTTCACCAGGGAGCCAAAAAGCAATGTGAGAGCTCAATCTTGTGAGCCAGCTGAGGGGCAGCTCTCCTGAGCCCCCATCCCAGCAGTAGCATGGGCAGGGCTGGGGCTGCTCTCCAAGATGCTTGTGATATCCCTGTTCCCAATGAAGTGCAAATGACAACAAGGGGAGACTGTTAACTGCTGAGAGCAAAGTGGGGGATGCAAAGCAGCTCTCTCCTGGGAGCACAGTCTCCTTGGGTAGCCTTTTTGGGTAGGGTTTGCTCATCTTCAGTGCATACTGTATGGGGCTGTGTCAGTGCTCAGAGCTGTTGGGCCAGGTTATGGAGCTCCTTGATACCTTTGGGTAGAAAGGGGTGCGTGAAGGCATGGTTTACTGAACGTCCCCCACCCTGCCGCTCTGTGTGTGTGTGCACTCTGCAAATGTCTCTGCACATCCGCAGAGATCCCTCCCTCTGGGCTGCAGAGTTTAGGAAACTGTTAGCGAGCTCTGCACATTCTCACATGGGCTGGAGCCAAAACCATTTGTTTTTTGCCTGGAGGCGTCTCTCTTCCCACAGGAGACCCAGCCTTGCATTCTTCCATTGTGAAAAAGAAATGGGAACGGGTCCCACGTTCCTTCTCCCCACTACCAAAGCTCCCATGGGGAAGACAGTAAGAGCTCCTGGTACTCGTCCTCCTGCCTTGAAAAGACCCCGGTGTCTAATCTGACTGTACCTAGAGCCACCACTGCTCCCAGGCTCCCCAGGGCTGGGTTGCTTTCACCCTGTGACTGAAAGTCCATGGGTGCGCTTAGGATAGCAAAGCTCTTCTCTGCCTCGATGTTTCTGATGCTGCTGCAGTTTGTCCCTCTTTTGAGATAGAGAAAGCCGCCTCCCTGTGATAATAGAAACTCCCTCTGTGCCGGAGGTCGGCACTGGGGACGGAAACCCCAGCGTGGGAACGAGCCCTGCGGGACCTCGGCAGGCAGCGGTCGCCTTGCTGGAGGCTCTGTGGGTCTGATCAGCTGTGTCTGTCTGCTCTGCAGGGCTCTCCAGCTCTGCGACTCCTGTCTGGCATGCTGTTTTGAGGTCAGAACAGCTGGTTTTTAGCCCTGTCTGACTTCAAGCTTAGGGAATCCCCCTGGGGGGCATGGCTCAGGACCGATCCCCTGCCTGTCCACTGTGGTCTGTTCCCTTTTCTCCCACCATGGCTTGGCCTCTGGAATTTTTCTGGACACTTACTCGCACATCGTAGCTCTACAAGATCCTTGTAGCCTGCTTAGCTGTGAAACCTCTCAGGGCAGTTGATAGAGTAAAGGTTTCCTGATGTTCAGGGCTGAGTTCCTGGGCTTTGCCTGTGGGAGGATTTGCCAGTGGAGGTAAGGCAGGGCGTTAGCTATTCCCCTGTGCTCTGAGAGTCCCTGGTCCGTGGCTGTGTGCAGAGGAGAAGTCCTGCAGCCGAGTGATGGGTATCCCTGTGATAGGGTAAGTAAGAGTGGTCGATGGGGAATCTCGCCACTTCGGGTAGCCTTCTGAGATCTGGTATGGTTTGCGGGCCACTTTTTCCCCACTTAGTTATTCCTGACCTCAAAGAATGAACGTGCCCATCTGAAAGGAGGTTCCTCCTGTCTTTCAGAGCAGCTCCAGTGAGAGACAGCAGCTTCATTGAGAAGATGAAGAAGACGGTAAGCTTCTTGCTTTGGCTGTGTGGGGTGCCAGGAAGGTGGGGGAGCTCGTGTCCTTCCCAGTTTCCTCTGGAGACTGTCTAGCTGTGTCAGCAGGGAGGACTGGTTTGGATACAGACACATATCTGCTGCAAAGAGCATCCAGAGGAAGGCTGTGTGGGCAGGCAGGAACAGCTCTTTCAGTCTATGCCTGAGAGTTGTTCTTAGAGAAAAAATTGAAGGGAAAATTTGGTCCAAAAAAAAGTGTAATATGAGATCAAAGTCAGGAGGGAAATGGCAGAGACTTTAAAGTCATTGGCTGGCAGTTGTTTATCTGTGTGGCTGTTTCCCAAACTGGTTCACTCTAGAGTGGGAGTTGTGCACAGAACTGGCAGCTTTTGGCTCCGCTGGACTGGACACAAGAGACTGGGATGTATTTTACTTCAAAGTAGCTGGCCTGTGGCAGAGCAGGAGCTCTGGTGCTTAGGCACTTTCCCAAAGCCTAGGCAAGTCTGCTTTCTCATCCAGGGAGTTCCCTGTTTCCAGGAGTCATGCTGCAGCTTTGAGACTGAGAATAAATCTTGAGGGTTTCTCTTTGCTTTGGGTTTTAGGCTGCTCTGAGTCACCCCTCTGAGACTGACAAGAGTCGTGTTCTTATTAACAGCTTAGCCTTGAGTTTTCTGCTGCAAACCCAGCATGGAGTCCCATACAAGTGCAGATTTGTAGTTGCCTTTAGGTTGCAGTCCAGGGCTCCTGATCCCAGGTGTTTCCTTCGTCTCTGACAAGATGTGCTTCATCCATGCATTTGCCAAATGGGTAATCACCATTTAACAGAGATTTCTTTTTCTCTCCAGGGGCGAAACATAGTGGTTTTCTATGGTTCACAAACAGGTACAGCAGAGGAGTTTGCCAATCGTCTCTCCAAAGACGCTCATCGCTATGGCCTCCGGGGCATGGCAGCGGATCCAGAGGAGTATGACTTGGTAATTTAGCCTTGAACAGTCTCAGGATAGGTAATATCCTTTTAGTGTCCCATAAAAAAAAACCAAAGCAGAAAGAGCCTAGCCAAGGGACAGTTGCCCTCTTAGTAGTGTCATTTAGGGTAGAAAAGATCAGCCCGAGAGATGCAGAGATGGGTGTGGTCCTTGCCATTCTACAGATTTGGAGTGAACACTGCAACATGACTGAAAGAGGAAGGTAGCTTGGAGTGTTTGGGAGTTGTGAGTCATCATTGGGCAGCATGAAACTTGCTCCATATTCCTTCTGTAGTTAGCATTGGTCCCGTACTGCTGCAGTTTTGGACAGAGGCATTGATGTTGTGGTGTTCTCCAAAGTGAGCAGCAATCCTGGTCCCTTAAAACCTTGTATGGAAAATCCCATTGCTTTTCTGGTGGGGTAGCAGTATTGACTTGCAGTCCAGTTAAGGTGGTTAGCTTTACTTACTCTGCCATTTTGGGTGGATTTGGCCTTTCCCAACCCCTTCTGTCATCAGCTGTTTGACATTACGTGGTGCTGTCCTGCACACCAGAGGTAGCTGTATTGTATAGAATCATAGAATTGTTTAGGTTGGAAAAGACCTTTAAGATCATCCAGTCCAACCATTAACCTAACATTACCAAGTCCACCACTAAATCAATTAAGGGTAGAGTAGCAATTTCACGTTTCCTGGCTTGGTGGCTGGATTATTTAGAATTAAAGTAAAAACTAGGAATCATTAAGATTGGAAAGGACCTCTAAGATCATCAGTCCAACCATCAACCCAACACCACCATGCCCACTAAACCATGTCCCAGAGTGCCACGTCTACATGTTTTTTTGAACACTTCCAGGGATGGTGATTCCACCACCTCTCTGGGCAGCCTGTTCCAATGCTTGACTACCCTTTCCATGAAGAAATTTTTTCTAATATCTAATCTAAACCTCCCCTGGCGCAGCTTGAGCCCATAAAGGAATGTAGGAATAGGCTTGCTCAATAACCGTGTTGTGGGATCCTTGAGGGTTTATTCTTTCTTTTGGTTGTAGTCAGACCTGAGTCGCCTCTCTGAGATCGACAAGTCCTTAGCTGTGTTCTGCATGGCCACTTACGGCGAGGGTGATCCCACAGACAATGCCCAAGACTTCTATGACTGGCTGCAGGAGGCTGACACTGACTTGTCAGGTCTCCGATTTGCAGTAAGTGGCTCAATTCCAGTTTATGTTGCATTTGGGCAGGAAGGTCAAAAGCCCTCCACTGTGCCTGCGCATGGCTTGGGTAAAGGCACAACATGATGTCTATGCCTTGTATGCCTGTGTCAGATACGGTCCCTGTTGTCTTCCTCTCCAGGCTTCACGGACACTTGCAAACATATATCTGGGCGCTTTAAATGCAGATGTCAGAGTACTCTCTCCACTCCCTAAATCACAAGGGTTCACTGGTAATGTCTTGCCACAAACAGCCCAGCAGGCATTGAATACAAGGTCTGTAAATGAGTTCCAGGCGGCTGCTGCTGCTCAGAAGCTAATTGAGCAGCCCTGGGCCAGATCTTCTCCCACAAATTAAATCACTTGGAGGAGTGTGTAGCTCTTTCCTGTGCTGAGCTGAATAATTGGCTGAGATACAGCCACCTCACCTAAATCCCGGCCAAATTCCTTAGGCAGCATAATAATTGCAAATGAGGAGAAAATCCACTGCTGAAGATGTTAAGCTGCTCTGTGTAAAGCAGTGAGCAAACATTTGCTGAGCGGTTTGTGGGAGGCAAGGGACAGCAACTGGTCTCCAGGCAGTCCGGGCTCTTACTGGTCCCTCAAGGAGATGGCGCAGGCAACTCTTGTATGTGCGTCCTCTTGGCATGCCTGAGGCCTGGCCCAGGGGAGGTAGTGGTGCCTACTGACCAGACAATCTCCAGTGGTAGATTCTTACTCAAGGTCCACAAATAGCTGATGGGGAGTTGGGAGAGGTCTTCCTGTCTTTCTTCAACATCCTTTGCTGGGTGATACTGGCCAGAGGATGCCAACTGGATGGAAAAAGTCCAGCCCTTCTCCACACTCATCAGCGTTCCCTTCCAGGTCTTTGGGCTGGGGAACAAGACTTATGAGCACTTCAATGCCATGGGAAAGTATGTGGACAAGAGACTGGAGGAGCTTGGAGCCCAACGCATCTTTGAACTTGGGCTGGGAGATGACGATGGCAAGTGAGTAGCGTGGCTTGAAGGGCTGGTCAGAGCTGGCTAAAGCATCGTGGAAGGGACCTTGGCAGGGATTTGGTTCTACTACTAAGACAGAAGTGAACTCCATAGGGCTAGTTGTGAGAGCTGACATGTCTCTGAGCGTGTGTCTGTCTGTCTGCTCTTTCTCTCACAATCAGATCCCTGTACACTTCAAGTATCCTAGGGGATCCTGTGTCTGGCAAATCCCATGTCAGCTTTAGATGACCGTAGTTATATACTCAAGGAGGCTTTGCAGCCTTCTCTGCCTTTGCCCTGCTGCAGCTCTATTGCTAACCCAGCCTGTATGGATAAACTCACCCATCCCTGTGGGGGAGGCAAACTGTCTCCTTGTGAACTGTTTGTTTTATGGTGGAAGGCAGCAATTTTCCAGCTTGGACAATGATGTTTGGTTTTTTTTTTTTACCTCGCTATGCTTACCTGAGCACCCTGTGGGTAGCAGCTTAACCTGGGAAATTACATCAACCTGTGGCTTTACCTCTAAGGGCTGCAAGATCTGATGAGAGGGATGTGCTGTGTGTGGGAGGCTCTTAGCCCAGAAAAATAAGTATTGCCATGGTGGAACCTGCCTTTTAGGAAGGTGACCTAATGCCAGGAGTGAGCAAGGGGGAGCTGAGTTGGTTAAAGACCGAGTCTGAATAGCAAAGCCTTCCTTGGCAGACCTGGTGAAGGGAGGGGTGGCTGGTATAGCAACAGTTCCCTCCCACCCGCTTAGTGATCTGAAGATGCTCTTCTGGTGATCTGTGGGCATGTAGACATATCAAAACTGCCTGGAACCAGCGGCAAATGCCTTTTCCCATGGTGAAGGAGGAAGTCCACAGGGATCTCTGATGGCTCCTGGGAATATCCCTTTGCTCCCCCTTGGGCAGGGTTATTGAATCTCTCTTTTTGCCCTGGCTAGCTTGGAAGAAGACTTCATCACCTGGAGAGAGCAGTTCTGGCCAGCGGTGTGTGAGCACTTTGGGGTGGAGGCTACAGGAGAAGAGTCCAGGTGGGTATGGGAGCAGGTTCTTCTGGGTGCCAGAGAGATTGGACACCTCTGACTGCTGGCTGTGCCATCAGCCCGGAGCTGCTGTCCCCTTTCCTGTGTGCTGCCTCCCCTTCCAGACTTGGGAGGTCACGTGAAGTAGATCAGTGAGTGGGGCTGTTTGGACTGAGCCTGTCCTGGTGCGAATTTGAACCCGGCTCTGGATTTCTGTTCTGAATAGGGATGTGATGGGTTTGTTTCCTTTGTGGATGGCTTTGCTGGGTTGTGATGCTCCCAGTGAAGCTGATGTTTCCTCTTGGTCTGGGCTTTCTGCATGGTCTGCCTGATCCCTAATGTCTCAAGAGGGGCGAAGGGATGAAAGTTGCATTTGTTTTTGAACTGCAGCAAATCCAGCAAAGGAGATGATGATTCCAACTGTACCTTGTGATTTCCTGTTTGACTTTTTTCTCTTTTCTCTCCCACTTCCTCCTCCAGCATCCGCCAGTATGAGCTGGTGGTGCACACAGATGTGAACATGAATAAAGTCTACACCGGTGAGATGGGTCGTCTCAAGAGCTATGAGAACCAGAAGCCGTAAGTGCCAAACCACGCTGGGCAGGGTGTACATGGGCCAGGCTTTGGCCAATGGAGTCCTTGATGTTCCTAACAACACGCGCTATGTGGGCAGTGTCATTTCTGCAATGCAGCCCTGTGGCAGATGTCTGCCCAATAGAAATGGGCTCAGATCTTTGCTGGGACTCCCAGGAATTCCCCAGTTAATGAACCATTAGTGTGTGAGAAGGTGGCTGTGTTCACATGTGCTGTTTGGCTGGTACATTTGCAGCATCTGTCTTGAGGTCACTCAGAGCCTTTCCTCACCCAGGGTAGCTAATGTGTGGTGGTTGCTTGCAGTTTTACTTTGGGGAGATTAGCTGTATAAATTACTTCCAAACTGACATATCTCTTTGAGATGTGACATCTCCTCCAATCTACTTTTGCATCACTTGTTCTTAATGGGACAGAAGCTGTTGACTGCTGGGCTGTGCTTAGAAGGAAAATGATCAGTTTTCTCTGCCAGTGTGGGTAGCAGCAGGATTGTAATTTGGTTTGTGCTGTGGTGTGCTTTGAAACATGAGCCAGGACAGCCCCACGCTCATACCATGCTCTGGAGGCAGAGGGAACGTGCCTGGATACAAGCAGCACTGTGAGCTTGCAGGAGAATAACCCAGAGGATCCTTGTCTTTCCTTCCAGACCATTTGACGCCAAGAACCCCTTCCTGGCCCAGGTTACAGAGAACCGCAAGCTGAATGAGGGTGGAGAGCGACACCTTATGCACCTGGAGCTGGATATCTCCAATTCCAAAATCAGGTAGTTTCCCATGGGAGACTGCTCCTCTATTTTGGCAGGAGCAGTCTGCATCAGGAGCAAAGAACAAGGATGTGGCACTGGCCTCATCCAGCACTCCAGAAGGAGACCTTGTTCTCATAATTACTTAACACTGCCCCTCTGGGGGCAGAGGTGGGGGCATACCACATGTCAGGTACCCCATGTCAGGACTTTGTCCCAGCTCTTGTGCCGTGCCTGGCTATGCCCTGTGCCCCTCCAGAGCTGGCTGCACATACCTGTCCTACCTGAGCAGTCCCAGCTGCAAGAATTCTCTAGGAGTCATTCAAAAAATGAGGGGGTAGATGAGCTATAAGAGAGGGGAGAGCTGGGGATGGCTCATGCTTGGGTTTGCCTGGCTTAGGTGTTACAAGCATATTGGGAATAAAGCCCTGTTCTTAACCCTTTTGCTGGCTTAAATTCCTCTGTGTGTGCTTGTGAGAAAGCCATGAATCCAGGTGGCTTGACATAACAAAACACTGCAGAGATTTTGAGCAGCTTTGCTTCTTGCCAGTCAGGGAGTTGATCTGTTGTGCTGGAAGTCTGGCCTCGTTGAAGTTTCTGGCAAAACTGCTGTTATCTTGGAGGTCCCTTGTAAAAAAACATGGTTCTTAAAACCGTTGTTCCACAATGGTCCTTTCTGCTATTACTGCCAGCTCTTTGGGATCCCTGATTGTGCAGGCACTGTGTAGCAGCTCAGATCTCAGTGTTGTCCTACTGCCCCTTGCACCAGCCTGCTTGTCTCAGGCTTGGGGTGGATGAGAAGTGGTGCTGGTGTTTCATCTGCTCTCCTGTTGCTCTCGTGCCAGGTATGAGTCTGGGGACCATGTGGCAGTGTACCCAGCCAATGACTCTTCTCTGGTGAATCAGATTGGTGAGATCCTGGGCACGGATCTGGACACGATCATGTCCCTAAACAATTTGGACGGTGAGTATGGATCACCCCTGAGCATCAGCAGTTCTCATTCAGCTATGGCCTCTGTCCACCACAGCAGGAGCCAGATCACCTTCAGGTCCCATAGGGCACCTCCAGGCAAACAGAGATGTCCTGTGGCAGCTCCAAATGCCGTGCCGTTTTAGCAGTGGCACAGAGCCCGCTTGCTGAGAGCCAGCTGAAGTGGGTCAGTTGTGAAACGTACTTAAGTGTGCCTATTCAACAACAAATTATGTAACAGCACACTCCTAATTACAGACCATCAGCCTGCCAGTGCATCCCTCTGCCGCAGCAGCCCCAGAGCTCAACAGGGGCCTTAGTGTCTGAGATGCTGTTTTTCAGTCCTTGGAGGAGGCAGAGGCTTGGGGATTGAATTGCCAGGAAGGAGCACTTGTGCTGATACAAAGAGCTCTTCCTGGGCAGTGTTCCCAGCAGAGCTGACCTCTGGCAGGAGGGAGATAGCAGCTCCTGAAGCAGTGCAGCCTGACCTGAGGCATCAGATGTGCTGGCCCAGAAGCCTAAGACAGCTCCTTGATTCAAGAGAGCAAGTGGCTTTAATGCACTGCTGGAGCCTGCAGCCCCCCATGCAGTGTCCCATGCTGTCTGGCCTCACACTGTCATTCCTGTCCCTTATGGACCTCTTAATTTGCTGAACTGAATGGCTCCAGCCTTGACTGCTGGTGCTTACCTTTCCCAAGGGGGCTCTGAGCACACCTGTCTGTGGCTGAAGGACACTTTTGAGGCCAGATCTGAAGGAGGTGTAAGTGTGTGAGGCCAAATGAGCCGTGGAGAACAGCCCTCCTGCCTGGTCTGGGAGTTTGCTGGGTGCCTCTGTGCATGGATAACTTGGGGCAGAGTGCCCTATTGGGGAGCATGGGTTTGGTTTTTTTTGGTGGGTGGTTTTGGGTTTTTTTTTTTTTTTCTGATAAGCTGTCAGGCAGCATCTGTGAAATGGGTTACTGGGAGATGTGGCTGCCTGGAGAGGGAGCTGCCCCGTGCTGGAGCTGCTTCGGTGTGGGATCGGGGCTTTGGCCCAACAGGCTGATTCAGCCCTAGGGCTGCTCTGTCCTCCCTGAAGCCCGTTCCCCTGCTCTGCCTCTAGCTGTCATGCACTGCATGTAGCTGCTGGCATGAAATCTCCAACATAACAGCATGTGGTTGCTGATTTTTTTTAAATTTTTTTTTTCCCCTCTCCCTCTTCTCCAGAGGAATCCAATAAGAAACATCCCTTCCCCTGCCCCACATCCTACCGTACAGCCCTGACGTACTACCTGGACATCACCAACCCACCCCGCACCAATGTCCTCTACGAGCTGGCCCAGTATGCCACGGACGCTAGCGAGCAGGAGCGCCTCCGCAAAATGGCATCGTCTGCTGCCGAGGGGAAGGTGGGAGCTGTGCAAAAGCTGCTGGGTTGAACTGGGTGCTGGGGGATCCCCAAAAGGGATCCAGGACTGTTGGGCACACCACGTGCAGAGAGCTGAGCGAGTGTTTGCCAGCCACGTAGGGAAGTCGTCACACGTGTGCCCTCCTTGCCCGCAGGCTCTCTACCTCAGCTGGGTGGTGGAGGCCCGGAGGAACATCTTGGCCATCCTGCAGGACATGCCCTCGCTGCGCCCACCCATCGACCACTTGTGTGAGCTCCTGCCCCGCCTGCAGGCCCGCTACTACTCCATTGCCTCCTCCTCCAAGGTGAGCATGCTTCCAGCAGGGACTGAGGCTGTTGAGAGATGGCTTCAGCTGCAGCTCCACAGTGCCACCGTCCCCCTCTCAGCTGGGGAACTGGCCCTGGTGACACTTCCCGTGAGGAGGCCAGCTTTAGTTATCTCTGTGCGTGAGAAGAGGGGGTTATCCCAACTTCCACAGGGTCTGCAGAGGGTCCTGCACTGCAGCCAGCTGCACCCTGATACCACCACCCTCCCTGCAGCCCTCCTCCTCTTCGCCTGTAGGCCTTGATTTCAGGGCTTGGAAGCAAGGTGCCATTTTATGGGTTGGTCAAAATTCACTCTTTACTTTGTGCCTGAAGCCCTGAGGTTGTTGGCAATACTGAGGGAAGCTCAGTGGTCCTGTGATGAGTCGGGTGCAAGACAGAAACTCCATGTGGGGCATGCTGGGAGGTCTGATCTGCCAGGGGAGAAATAGCTGTCCCAACGTTAACATTAGGTTAAACTTCTCCCCATCCCTGAGCACAAGGGACTGAGCTGTGGGGTTGCTGGGGCTCCTGCTCTGCCTGGCACTGACATCCCTTCCTGCAGGTTCACCCCAATGCCATCCACATCTGTGCTGTGACGGTGGAGTACGAGACCAAGACAGGACGTCTGAACAAAGGGGTGGCCACCAACTGGCTCAAGAGCAAGGTGCCCAATGAGAATGGGAGCAACTCCCTGGTGCCCATGTATGTCAGGAAGTCGCAGTTTCGCCTGCCCTTCAAACCCAGCACACCCGTCATCATGATTGGACCGGGAACTGGCATAGCCCCCTTCATAGGCTTCATTCAGGAACGGGCTTGGCTGAAGCAGCAAGGTGAGTGCCCAGAAACTTCCCTGGGGACTGGAGTTGCTGCAGGACGGTGCTCTGTGGGGCCAGTTGGTGCCTCCAGGGTGCAGCTTGTGCTGCTCACATCGCTGATGGCGGTGGAGCAGGGTGAACAGCAGCTAAGTGTTTTTGCCCGGCACAAGGGTGCTTTGTCCTCCTCTTGGCCACAGAGGATGTTTAGGGGGGCAGATAGACCTGAGCCAGTTCTCTGACCTCTGCCACCGTGTCTCCGAATAACCACAGTCAAGTCACTCGGACATTTCTAAAGCATATGGGTACTTCTGCGAATCAGTCTCGAGCTTCCCCTTATAAACAGAAGCAGTCGTGTGGCTCTGCCTCCCCTGGGTTGGCAGGATGAGGGGAGATAGGGAGGACAGGGTTGGGGGCTGCAGGGGGCCAGCTGATGGGTGCTGCGTGCCTCTGCAGGCAAGGGGGAGGGCGAGACGGTGCTTTACTATGGCTGTGCTGGTGGCCTCTGCGGGCAAGGGGGTGGGCGAGACGGTGCTTTACTATGGCTGCCGCCATGAGCGTGAGGACTACCTGTACCGTGAGGAGCTGGCCCGCTTCCACCAGGAGGGAATCCTCACCCAGCTCAACGTCGCCTTCTCCAGGGACCAGGCTGAGAAGGTACCGCTCCAGTCCCCCAGCCACCTGCTTATGCTGCCCACCGTCGCTCCCAGTCCTGGCAGCGGGGGAAGAAAAGGCTCTGAGGGCTGGAGACTCCCAGCCTGGAGCCTCGCTGCTAGGGAAGGCCCATGGCAGTCGTGGGAGCACCCAGCACCTCCACTGCCTTGTGGAGCCACAAGCACGGGCTTGGCTTCCCCTCCCTCGCCATGGCCTGTGGCGTGGGGACCCTGCTCCTGTCACTTCACTCCCACCTTGTTTCCTCCCAGGTTTATGTTCAGCACTTACTGAAGAAGAACAAGGAAAGCATCTGGAAGCTGGTTAATGAGGGGAATGCTCATATCTACGTGTGCGGGTAGGTCTGGTGGCAGGGAGGGAGCTTTGGGAAAACGTTCCTATTCTCAGGAAAATGAGCGTATCTCAGTTTACCCACTTGTGCGTGACAAGCCCTGGGAGGGTTTTGCTGTCCTTGTTCCAGGGGAGGGCATGTGGCCAGGCAGATGGGCTGGGGTGAGCGAACCGTCTGTGTTCGGGTGTTGAGAGGTGACCAGGGCTCTGTGGCTCTGATGTGTTACTGCCTCGCTCACGGTCCCCTTGTTTCCAGTGATGCTCGCAACATGGCCCGGGATGTGCAGAACACCTTCTACGAGATCGTGGCCGAGTTTGGGAACATGAGCCAGCCCCAGGCCATGGACTATGTAAAGAAACTGATGACGAAGGGCCGGTACTCTTTGGATGTCTGGAGCTAAGAGCGGAGCTGGCGGGGCCAGGGAGAGAACGGGTCCCCAGGCGTGGGCCCGTGGGAGGTGGAAAGTGCCTGCTTGCCCACTGCTGCTGTGGGTGACAGTGTCGTCCCTAGCCCACAGCTACCCCAGTGTCACTCCCAACCCCTCCTGGGCCACAGCAGCCCCCCGGGGCAGGCTGTGCACCCTGGGGGTGGAAGGGGTTGAGAGGGGGAGGGGGGTAGCTCAGGCTGTTGTCCAGGAGCCGCGGTGCCCCTGGCACCCCAGGAAGCACCTCATGGCACCCGCGTTTGCCTTGAGAGCAGGGACACAGCTGATGCGGGGCAAGAGGGATGGACAGTGCCAGGGGAGCTCTGGGGTCCTTCTCTGAACACGAGGTGTTGCCTTATCCCCTGGGGCTGGAGACCACCCTGGCCTGCTGGCACAGGCAGCCTGGAGATGGCAGAGGGGTGGAGGAGCTAGCAGCCCCCTGCGCTGCGGGTTTGGTGTGAGGGCACAGCCTGGGGCAGTGATCTGTCATCGCCTCCCTCCCACCCTGCTTGGCCATCTCTAGGATGTGGGGCTGGCAACTGGGTCTGGGCACAGAGCTGCCCCATACCACCAAGACCCTACAGGCACCCACTCCTTTCCCCTGCTGCCCGCCTTTGCTCCAGCACGCAGCAGGGAGGGGATGGCTCCTCTCCCCTCTGGAAGAGACCTGGTCTTGGGGGGTCTCAGTCTGCAGGGGCCCTGCTTGCTCCCTGGGGTCCTGCAGCTGGCTGTTCCCCTGTGCCCAGCCCCTCCCTCGTGCTGTGTATGGTCATTTTTTAAATACTGTTTTTATTTTAACATCTTTGTGATTTAATCATGGGGAAAAAAAAAAAAAACAACTTTCAGGCTCTCCAATGACTGTAAATTATTTAAATACATTTGCCCTTGGAATAAAAAATACTGTTTCTGTAGTTTGTTTACTGCTTTCTCTGCTCAGCCAGAGGGAAGCAGGAGGAGCAATGGCTGCTAACCAGGAGGAAGCCTGGGGAACAGGCAGCAGCTCTGGGTTTAGGCTGAGCTGGAGCTGGGGCCAGTGCCTACCCTGGGGTGCTGAGCCCTGGCAGGGTCACGAGGATGGCAGCGGGGGATGGATGGCTCTGGATGGAGGCACAGCTGTGCTGGACGTGCTGTTTGGTTCCCACCACTGTAGGAGTTCCCAGTCGTAGTACAGGGCTTCTCTTCCCTCAGTGGCCTGTGGCACGGAGCTGTGCAGGCCAGGGGGTGCCACAGGAGGGAGCTCACAGCACTGCCCTCCCGGCCCCGCTGCACCCTGGGCTGGTGCAGGGGCATTTGGAGATGGCTTTTCTTCCCTCCCCTGACACAACGTGCCAGGGGCCCACTGCCAGATGAGCCAAAACTGTAGAGCACACAAGCTGTTCGAGACCACCCCAGTGACCAGGGGCAGCACCTTCCCTTTATTTTTACATGTGCATCCTCCAGAGATGCAAGACCAGGGTGCTGTTTGCACAGCTCCAGCGTGAAGCCTGGTTCAGGTGTGTGGTGCTCCCACCCCTCCAGTGCCACAGCTCCTCCACCTCGGCCCCCTCTGCCCTGCGGCTTCAAGGTAAAGGAGGAACAGGGGTACAACACACCCTGGAAGCCAGCACTGGTGTGTGGCCTCCAGCTGCCCTTAAAAGTAAAGAGGGCTGCTGGAGCAGCCAGGGAAGCGACTGCTTGCAGCCTGTGAGATGTGGGGGCCTCTCTACCTCTGCCTTCAACATGCAAGGGCTGCAGGGCTGGGGAGAGCCTTGAGCACCCCAAGAGCTGTGCAAGAGGCAGCCGGCAGCCCTGGACCCAGCCTTGTCCCAGGGGCGTTGATGCAAGTGGGCACCCTGGGCTGCCCCTGCCTGCAGTGGGGTGGGGAGCCCTAGCAGAGCTGGGCTTGACCCCAGAGACCCATCCCAGTAAATGCCTTCAGGGCAGAGGAGCAACTGTCCCAGGCACCCTGCTTTCCTGGAGGAGGAAGGCAGATGGGACAGGAGTTGCAGGGTGCTCCTGACTCCAGGTGAGTGACTCAGGCACAGATCCAGCACCGCAGTGAACACGCAGTCTATTTGCAAGCACACACTGTCCCACACCCAGGCTTCCAAGGAACAGTGAGACACCAGAGTCTGGACGGCATCGAGATGGAGATGGAGCCGGTGGGGAGAAACAGTCCTGGCCCCCACGCTGCCCCCCTTCAATTCCGCTTCCTGTCTTTGTTCTTGTTCTGAAACTTCTGGTGGACAACACGGAGGGTGGTGAAGAAGTTCCCCAGGAAGAGGATGAAGAAGGGGAGACCGCACATGAGGACCTGCGGGAGCCGCAGAGGCACGAGTCAGCAGGAGGGACCTGCCTGGGGCATCCCCCTTTCCCGGGGCAGCTGCCTGGGAGCCCCCTTACCTGCCACTCCTTGCATTCCGGGTGCTGGAGCATGCGGAAGAGGGTGACAGCGTTGTAGAGCTGCCAGAACTGCAGGAGAGAGGAGATTTAGGGGAGTTTCTGCTTTCAGAGGCTCATCCAGCTGCTTCCTCTGGGTGCAAACCTCATGTGAGGCCAGCCTGCCCCAGCACGCAGTGAAACCGTGTCCAGGCTCGGGGCCAGAGGACTCATCCCCAGAGGACCGCAGCTAGGACATCTCCCCCTTTCTTGCCACTTTCTGGAGCCCAACAGCCAGGAGGAAGCCTTGGCCAAAAGCAGTAGGCTGGTCTATTGGCCTAAGTGATCTGGCCAAGGAAGAACTGGACATTCAGCAGCAGCAGCTCAGAGCTGAAGCTCAGACGGGTTTCTGGAATGGTTCTACGGAGCCAGCCCCTCTCCTGTAGTTTGCACATCACTCGAGCACTTGACAGAACTACCCCAGGTCCTCCCCATCTCACTAGCTGAGTCATGGAGGTGGTGGGTGCTTTGGAGGAAAAGGCTCAGCATTTGCTGAAAGCATTTCCCTGCCCCAGCATCGTATCGCATGGCTGCAGCAGCCTGTGGGAATCTGTCTGATGTCCAGGCTGCCAAGCGCAGCCAGGAATACGGCACGATCCGCTCCCGAGGCTCTGGCCTCTTGCAGGTCCCTGCAAGGATCAGTGCACACTCACCTGCCCAAAGAAGAGGAAGGGAAGCAGGAACGTGAGGCCTCTCCACATCCAGGACTGGAAGCCCTCTGCAAAGGATGAAGGTTTGCATGGGGACCCGAGACCGTGCTGGCTGGGGGACCGGATGGAGCCCAGCTCCTGAGGTTGCAGGCAGGGAGGTTTAGTGGCCAACCTGTGCCTGGCTGAGAGGGTCCTGCCAGGCTAACGCAGCCTTGCTGTGGGTGCTCGTACTCCCTGGGAGGACCGTGGCAGGGATCCCTCGCCTGAGGCCAACGTGGGCCTCTCGGGAGGAAGCTGCTCTCATAGAGCTGCCCTCGCCCGCAGCTGCGGTCCCTCAGCCCGAGCACTCCATGTCGCAGGGGCCGGGGAGGTGACAGCCCACAGGTACGTGGGGTGTTGAAGGGAGGTTCTCTGTCTGTGAAGCAGCTTCCTGGAGGAAGCTCAGATGCCAGGAGCCGCATCCCGAGGGCGCCAGCTGTGGGCCAGCAGCCCCAGGAGAGCAGGAGGAGGGGGGCATCCGGCTGACGGGATGATGCCGCCTCAAGGGACGTGCTGCTTTTAGAGCTTTGGCTTTACTTGAAGCTTTTACTGTTTCTGCCACTGATAAACCACAGTCAAACTAACCTCGCAGCAAAAATAACTGTCACCATTGCCTTTAACAGAAACCACAGCTCCCAGTTAGCTGAGCACCAGTCTGGTGCTGGGAGGGAGGGAGGGAGGCTGCTAACAGCCACAGGCCCTGCGGCAACGGCAGGTCCAGTTGGACTGGGACAATCAGTAAGAGAAGATCCCAGCTTACCCACAGTCAGGTCCATGTTGTGCCTCTCGCCCAGCGCTCGCAGCCGGTACAAGCACCCACTCTGATAGTAGTACTGCAGGAACTGCACAAAGCCTGCAAGGAGAGCGTGGCTCCTGTCAGCAGGTGCCCAGGCATCATCCCCTGGCCCCCACATCAGTGTGGCTCCGAGATGATGCTGCGCACAAAGACTGTCCCAGCGCCAGGGTGGTGGAAAGAGGCCGAGGGAAAACCCAGGTGAGCAGAGAGCTGTGAGCAGCTACAGCTGGCTCTCCACGCGTCGCAGAGCCAGGCAGGCACGCTCAGCGCCTGAGGCCAGCCGTGGTCCCAGGCCCCTGTCCCGGCACACGGGGCAGCACTTACTCTGGTACATGGAGAAGGAGAGGAACTGGTTCCTGAACATCTGGTACATGAGCCCATCTGGCCTGCGGAGAGACGATGGGGCTGAGAGGGGACACAGCCAGCCCTGCCTGCCACACAGCCGGGGTGACGGCACTCTGCCTCGCCCCGGCTCCCACCAAAGCAGGGGTTTGAGATAGCCCTTCCACAAGAACTGCAACGCAGGGGATCCTGTTTCCTAGCCCAGGGACCCTGCCTGTGCTGCCTGCTGCGCAAAGGTGCCGACGGCTGCTTTTGTTTAGGGTGCTTGGGCCTGGAGAGGAATGTGTGGACTTGACTGGTAGAGCACAACATCCAGAGAGCAGGACTGCGGCCATGCGTTAGGGCAGTGAAGGCCCCTTCATCTGAGCTGGCCGCAGCCCAAGCAGGCCGGGGTCTGTACAGCCAAAAGATGGGGGGATGCACACTTACCATGTCAGCATGACACCTGAGAGGAAGGTGGAGATGTAGTGATGGAAAACCCACCAGCCTTTGATTCTGGAAGGCAGACACAGAGAAGGGGCGTCAGGTCTTGAGCACGAATCAAGACCCAAGCACACAGCAGGAGAGCTGTGGCAGCCCAGTGCCAGCCACCCTCCAGCTCCCAGGGCAGGCAAGCAGCAGGGCTGGTTACGAAAGGCCGTGCACGGAGCAGGACCCAGCGCCTCCGGTCCAGGTGGCACCCAGGGGCCAGGACCACTCCAACCGCTGCTCCACCTTCCCGCACCACCTCCGCACAGGGAGCTCCTCCTGCCCCACTCGTTACCAGGGTTTGCTCCACACCCTGAGTGGGAGGGAGCTGCTCCCTTGGGAAGCATGGAGCTACGCGATGGTTCCCAACTCCCCAGCCTTGCAGAGAAGGACCAACTCACTGCACGCCCCCCTCCCTGAGCCCAAGGGACTCACTTGGATCCGTTGTTGATCAAGATGCTCTCCCGGATGGTGAGGGTGCAGTAGTACCACACCAGGAGGAAGTTAAAGACAGCGTCTGTCACCCTGGTGGGAAACAAAGCAGGATGTGAAGGTGGCAGCAGAGCCACTGCCCATGCGTTGGGGGCACAGGCACCGAGACAGCCATCGCTGCAGGATGCCCACCCACGCTGAGGGCAGGGAGGCCTGCTCCTCCACCAGCCAACATGGCCACAAGTGAGACCGCAGCAGCCACAAAAGCCACCCCACCTCCAGGGCAGCAGCCAGATCCTTTGTCAGGATCTCCTGCTCAGCTCTGGACCTTTCAGGACGGGAGAAGAGGACACAGCGGCCCTGGGAGATCTCTGCCCAGCATCCAGACTCACCTGGAGTTGAGGAGGAACCGACAGGAGAAGGACACGATGAGTAAGATGATGGTGAGGTAGAGCTTGAACTTTTCGTACTCATCTTTATATGCGAACCTGCAGGGAAGCACAAGGACAGGCTTGGAGCGAGGTGGCTGCTGGAAGTCTCTGTCCTCCCATCCCACCTAGCTAGACAACAGCGATGCTCCAATGGGAACCTGTGGGACATGCTCAGGAAAAACCTCGTCCCCTGGGTATTTCTGAGATGAGAGTACACGGGACTGCTTTCACACAGGTGAGAGCACTTCAAGTCACCCCCCAACCACGCCAACCTGGCGGGTGGCCCAGAGGGCTCTGGGAAGCTGGGCAGGTTGGCGTCTGCTCAGCTCTTCAAGGGGAGGCCTGGGGAACTGAGGGAGGAGGACATGGGCTCCTGGCTGGGCACCTCTGGCATTAGTGTCCCAGCGTGTGTGGGGCTCTCGTGGGCCAAAATCGGCCATTGGTGTTTCCCAAGGGAAGAGGAGGAGGGAGGCTCGCCAGTGGCTGCACAAGTCTGTCTCTCCTGGAAGTCCCTAACATGGGGGAAACCCAGACACAGCTTTGGTGGAGGATCCTATTTAGCTTGTCAGAGCTAACAGTCTGTCCCAGCCCGGTGGCAGGAGTGTAAGAGGGAGTCAAGGACTCAGCTGATTCTGGGAAAGGAAGCAGAGGACAGCCCGGGAAGGGAATCTGCACCAGGCGGATCAAGCCAGCCACGTGTCTGCACGTGTGGCAGCTCAGCCCGGGAGGAGTTGTCGTTTCCTGGCGACAAGGGGATCCCAAGCCAGGCAAAGCGCACGGCAGCAGTGACGAAAGGGCCGTACTTGGCCTGATTGCTGAGCAGCGTGACGTTCACGTTCCCGAGCACCAGACTCAGGTACAACCTGGGGAGAGAGCAGAGGCATTAGGACAGGCGCCTGCCCGGGAGCTGGCAGCACTGCTGCGGAGGCGAAGCAGAGCCGTCCCCTCTCGTGCCACCGCTGAGGCCACGGGGCCGGGAACGAGCACCCAGCTGTTTTCCATTTGGAGCTGCCAGGTGGCGTGACCGGCACAAGCGCTCTGGCATCTCCTCCCAAGGGCAGGGGGACAGGCGGCCGAGCACACCCCCCACCTCCCGCTGGCACCGGGGTGTTTGTCAGGGCTTGCCCCCACGCACGGCCGCTGTTCAAGGGCAGGTGAAGGCCACGAGCAGACAGAGCGAGGGGGACAAGGGTGGCAGCGCTGTAGAGGCTCAGCCTGGCTCCTGCCAAGGTGTCCTCCAGGGAGCCCAAGCAGGGCAGCGCGGCTGGGACACTGCCGGGAGCAGGGTGACGGCAGGTTTGTGCCTTGCAGCGTTACAGCCGCAGGGTCGACCTGGTGTTTCACCCAGAAATAAGGTGCCTCTTACCCGTTCTTCTTTGGTAGATAGGCCTCCATCTCAAAGAAAACGTTCTGCCTCTCTTTTATTAGGTTCTGAGTCTCTTGGATGGACTCCTCCTGTTCGGGACTCGTGTGGGCTTTGCATCTGGGGAGGAAACACAGGCGCTGGCATCAGGATCGCCTCCGTAACACAATCAGCATGTGCTGGCACTTGATACAGGACTGTCTCAGACAAGGACACCCCAAGGACGGGGAAGACGGACTGGAGGCAAGTCCATGACTCCATCTGCAGGGTGAGCTCCTCTGTCAGGCTGGGATGTTGCTCAAGAAAAGGAAGCAGGGTGAGAGCGAGGTGAGGCCAGATAGGTCTTCTCCTCAAGGAAGGACGGAGAGAGCTTTGTGTGGGACGGCGGGCAGTTCAAGTTACCTGCAAAGCCCCTGCAAGCTCCAAGCTGCAAACAAGGCTCAAATCGGGGCAGAGGGAAGGGAAGCTGAGGAAGAACTGCCCGGGTGAGTCCAGACCTCCACAGCACTTTGCTGTCACTGAGGCTGCGGTAATGTTTATATTGGAGACAGAGCCATGAGATGAGTTCAATAGCCCC